GAGCCCAGGAGTTTGAGGTTACAGTGAGCTCTGATCATGTCACCGCACTCCACCCTGGGTAACAGAGCAAAACCGTGTTTCTATTTTTAAAAAACTAATAAATAATGATAACAAACTAGTACCTACTTAAGAAATAGAAGGTTACCTTGGAAACTCTATGTGTCCCTATTTTTCTGATAATAGCATACTTGGTATATAAGCATTCACATAATTCTATAGCACACGTAGTGAAAGGCCTCTTTCTAGCCACTTAGTGCAGAGCAGATCTATCGTGCAGAACTTTGAGATGACAGAAATGTTCTATATTTGTGCTGTCCAATATGGTAGCCACTAGCCATATATGGCTACTGAGAACTTGAAATGTGGCTAGTGCAAATGAGGAACTAAATTTTAATTTTATTTAATTTTTAATAGCTGTACGCATGTGCACATACACATTCTAATCAATATTCTAGTAAGAATGAGTAATGTTTTTCTTACTTTTTTTTTTTTTTTTTTTTGAGATGGAGTCTCGCTCTGTCACCCAGGCTGGAGCGCAGTGGTGCAATCTCATCTCACTGCAACCTCCACCTTTCAGGTTCAAGCGATTCTCCTGCCTCAGCCTTCTTTGCAGCTGCGATTACAGGCATGCACCACCACACCCAGCTAATTTTTGTATTTTTAGTAGAGGCAGGGTTTCACCACCTTGGTCAGGCTGGTCTTGAACTCCTGACCTCATAATCTGCCCATCTCGGCCTCCCAAAGTGTTGGGATTGCAAGTGTGAGCCACCATGCCTGGCCCTCTTTCCTTTTAATAATACGTCATGGCCATCTTCCCACATCACTACATATTGATCTACTTTATTATGTTAATGTAGCTTGACTATTCCATTTAGGAGGTATTACGTTTTATTTAACCAATCCCCTATGGGTAAATATTTAAGGAGTTTCCCCTTTTTTTGTTACTGTAAAGAATGAGCATATCTGTGGGTCTTAGGGACAACATGACCATGACCCTGCAAGGGTGCCTTCTCATCAGTGGAACTTCTGAATCAAAAGGCCCCAAAATTCTTAGTTATCACTCTAACACCCACCCCCACCACAGCCTAGAAATAGCATTGCAGGAAAGATATTGCGAAGCATAATGTTTATAGCTCTGAAGGATGTACAGCCACAGTTGTGTATCACTTGGGGCTTTGGGGGAAGATAAACCCTAAAATCAGTGATCACGCTGCCATTCACTCACTGTGGTAGGTAGAAAATCATCTCCCTACCCTCCACAGAGATACAGTCACTTGTCACCAAAACCTGTGAATATTACCTTATATGGCAAAAGATGAGATTCAGATAAGAACCTTGAGAAGCTGGTCCTGGATTATCCAGGTGGGCCATAAATGAAATCACATGTGTCCTTACAAAGGGGATGCAGAAGGTACTAGAGATGGAAGAGGAGAAGACACAGACACACGTAGAGAAGAAGGTGTTGTGAAGACAGAGGCAGAGACAGGAGTGAGACGGCCACGGGAGCTGGACGAGAAAAGAAACAGATTCTTCCCTAGAGGGAGTATAGCCCTGCTCCACCTTAATTCTGCGCTTTAGCCTTTTAGGACCATGACAGAATAAATTTCTGGTGTTTGAAGCCATGAAAGCTGTGGTCATTTGTTATAGCCGACACAAGAAACTAATAAACTCACTGTGTGACCTTGGACACCTCTGAGCTGCAGCTTCCATATCTGAAAAGTGGGAATAGGAAGAGTTGTGATGACCACAAAGATTTTCTATGAAGTACTTTGCATGGTTCCTGAAACTGTACAGGTGCTAGACACAGGTGCAGTGGAGGCTGAGAGAAAAGGCACCTGAGTCAGGCTGGTGTCATCACTTCCTGGAGGGCATTGAGCTGGTAATTTAGAATTTGCAAGCAATTGGATGAGATGACTCAAGTAGGGCTTAGAATACTCCTTGAACACAGCAAGTGCTTGATAAATGCTACCTATGGTTTCTTTTATGGCCTCCATTACTACTGCCCCTGTATTCGCCTGTTCAAACTATTACAAAACAAAACAAAACACCCTGCAAGGCTTACACAACAGAAATTAATTTATTTTCTTACAGTTCTGGAGGCTAGAAGTCCAAGATCAAGGTGTCAACAGGATTGATTTCTTTTGAGGTTTCTCTCTTTGGTTTACAGATGGTTGGTTGCCTTGTAGCCATGCCCTCACATGATCTTTACTCTGTGTACTCATGCCCTTGATGTTTCTCTTTATGTCCAAATTGCCTCTTCTAGGACATGCATGCAAAAATGGAAAGACATTCCACATTCACGGAATGAAAGAATCAATATTGTTAAAATGTCTGTACTATCTAAAGCAATCTATAGATTGAATCTACCACAACCAAAACACTAATTATGTTCTTCACAGAAATGGAAAAAAAAATTGTAAAATTTATGTGGAGCCACAAAAGACCCAGAATAGCCAAAGTCTTCCAGAGCAAAAAGAACAAAACTGGAGGAATCATATTTCCTGACTTCAAGTTATACTACAGAGCTGTAGTAACTAAAACAGCATGGTAATGGCATAAAAACAGACATACAGATTAATGGAGAAGAATAGAGAACCCAGAAACAAATCCATACATTTATAGTGAACTCATTTTTGACCAAGGCGCCAAGAACATACATTGAGGAAAGGATAGTTTCTTCAATAAATGGTGCTGGGAAAACTGGATATTCATATGCAGAAGAATGAAACTAGACCTCTGTCTTATATATAAAAATCAAATCAAAATAGGTTGAAGACTTAAACCTAAGACCTTATACTATGAAACTACTAAAAGAAAGCATTAGGGAAACTCTCCAGGGCATTGGACTGGGCAAAGATTTCTTGAGTAATACCCCTCGAGCACAGGAAACCAAAGCAAAAATGAACAAATTAGATTGCAATGAGTTAAAAAGCTTCTGTACAGCAGAAGATACAAATCAACAAAGTGAAGAGACAATCCATAGAATGGAAGAAAATATTTGCAAACTATCCTTCTGATAAGGAATTAATAACCAGAACATATAAGCTCAAACAATGTTATAGGAAAGAAATATAATAATCTGATTTGAAAATGGGCCAAATATCTGAACAGACATTTCTCAAAAGACCTACAAATGGCAAACAGGTATATGAAAAGATGTGCAACATCATTTGATGTGGTTTCATTCTGTGTCTCCACCCAAATCTCATGTAGATTTATAATCCCTGCCTGGTGCAGTGGCACATGCCTGTAGTCCCAGCTACTCGGGAGGCTGAGGTGGGAGGATTCCTTGAGCCCAGGAGTTCTGGGCGACAGTGCGCTATGCCAATCGGGTGTTTGCACTAAGTTCGGCATCAATATGGTGACCACCCAGGAGCGGGGGACCACCAGGTTGCCTAAGGAGGGGTGAACCAGCCCAGGTTGGAAACGGAGCAGGTCAAAACTCCCATGCTGATCAGTAGCAGGATCGCACCTGTGAATTGCTACTGCACTCCAGCCTGGGCAACATAGCGAGACCCCGTCTCTTAAAAAATAAATTAATTAATAAATAATTTTTAAAAATTATAATCCCCATGTGTCAGGACAGCAACCTGGTGGGAGGTGAATGGATCATGGGGCAGCTTCCTCCATGCTGTTCTCATGAAAGTGAGTGATTTCTCAAGAGATCTGATGGTTTTAAAGAGTGTGGCGATTCCCCATCGCTCGCTCTCTCTCCTGCCCACCATGCTTTCCCTTTATCTTCCACCATAATTTTAAGTTTCCTGAGGCCTCCCTAGCCATGCAGAACTGTGAGTCAATTAAAATTCTTTTCTTTATAAATTATCCAGTCTCAGGTAGTTCTTTACAGCAGTGTGAAAATGGACTAATACATCATTGATCATCAGAGAAATGCAAATCAAAACTTCAATGACATATCACTCACATCAATTAAAATGGCTTTTATACAAAAGACAGGCAACAGCAAATGCTGGTGAGGATGTGGAGAAAAGGGAATCTTCATATACTGTTGGTGGGAATGTAAATTAGTGCAACCACCAAAGAGAACAGTTTGGAGGTTCCTCAAAAAACAAAAAATAGAGCTACCATATGATTCAGCAATCTCACTGCTGATTATATACCCAAAAAAAAAGGAAATCAGAATACGAAAGAGATTTCTGCAATTCCATGTTTATTGCAGCACTATTCACAATAGCCAAGATCTGTATGCAATCTAAGTGTCCATCAACAGATGAATGGATAAAGAAAATGTGGTATATATACACAATGGAGTATTATTCATCCATAAAAAAAGAATGAGATCCTGTCATTTGCATCAACAAGGATAGAACTGGATATCATTATGTTAAGTGAAATAAGCCAGGCACAGAACGACAAACTTCACATGTTCTCATTTATTTGTGGTAGCAATTAAAATGATTGAACTCATGGAGATAGAAAATAATGGTTACTAGAGACTGGGAAGGGGTAGTGGTGGTGGGAGGGAGGGGGATGTCAAATGAGTACAAAATATAGTTAGATAAAATTAACAAGATCTTGTGTGTGACAGCACAATAGGGTGATTATAGTCAACTCTATTTAAAAATAACTAAGAGTATAATTGGAATGTTTGTAAGACAAAGAAAGGAGAAATGCTTGAAGTGATGGATACCCCACTTACCCTGATGTGATTATTATGCATTGAATGGCTGTATCAAAATATCTCGTGTACCCCATAAATACAAACACTAAGTACTCACAAAAATTAAAAATTCAAAAAAATGTTTTAGACCCAATGTCTCTGAGATAGAGAAACTAGACTTTTGGTCCATATTTCTTTCTGAAGGACCAATGCTATTTGCATTTAGAAAAATTCCTTTCTAAAGCAACTTAAAAGTTTTGGTGCTGAAAGAGTTCACTTCAGTTATCTGGAAAACCCAGGCCCTGGGTCCAGGAAATTCGGAGGTGGTGACAGGGTGGTGACAGGGTTACTGGAAGGTATCGCTGGTCTTATTAACACTCACCTCACATGGGTTTCTTCAAAAACTTCCATGATGTGTTTCTTGGAGAAAAAGGATGTGTCATCTCACTTTCTCCTGACAGCTGCCACAGCCAGGGCATGGAGATGGGGCACAGCGCTGCCTGCTGGGGCCGTGGGTAGAGGAGGATGCTCCACTCAGTGGAAAATGCAAATGAATTCCACTAGGGCTCCAACCTTTGACTCTGAAAAGGGAAGTACAGTCATGGCCCAACAACTTAAAATAAAGAAGTGAGTGGCTTATAATAACTCTGAGGCTTCCAGGAAAAAGCCATTCTGAGTGTAAATAACAAAGAAGTCGAAGTAAACAGCCATGCCATCTGATGTGACTGCCTGGAAAACGAGGGGACACTAGTTCCCAGGGAAACAAGAGAGATGGCCTCTTTTATACATAACCCTCAGAAGCTTCTGCAGTCAGAAAGCCCAGCATGCAAATCCTTCCCTGGGCCATGAACACAGGAACGACCCAGTGTCCTTCCACACCACCAGGATTTAGTTAATGATCGGTTCAACTCAACCGAGCCATTCTCTCATTGCAGTCAGAATGGTCTTTCTAATGACAAGCTTGATGATCATGCTAGCACCATTTACTGACTGCCAACTGTGTGGCAGGCCCTTGACATGTTTTATCTCAGAATTTTAAAAATGAACTTAGAGGGTCTTGGCTTTTAGTGAAATAGAACAGAAAATATCAGAATGCATCACATTTGGGGAAAACAAAATGTTTCATGTTTACTGGGTTAAAATGCATCATGTATTTCATACATCATACGGCACTCGAAACTACATAAAAGCACCTGCTTGTTTGGAAGCATCTGTGTCTGACCTGACACGCACCAGGAGGTAGATGCTATTACCGGCCCCAGCTTACAGAGAAGCAAATGGAGGAGCTGAGTGTTTAACTTGTCTAAGGTCACACAGCGTATGAGAAAGGATGCTGGGACTAGAACCCAACAGTCCATAGCCCACAACACTATGTCACTCTCTGCTGCAATGCCTTCAAATGTTCCCCACAAGTATTAGAATAAATTCACAAACTCCATCCTGGCAGCCTCACTTCTCACCACTCTGCAGTTCCACTCACTGGCATTTCTTCATGTCTTCCACCAGCACCTGCTCTACCCCACCCCAGGATTGTTCCATGTGCTGCGGCTTCTATGTGAAATATTTGCTGTACAATTGCCCAGATTTGAACCTGCAACCCTTTTATAGCCCACCTTCACTTGCTAAGATCCACCCTCCTTTCTCCTCACCCTGATTACTTTCCATTACCCCAGAGAGCACCCTCCCCACCTCCTTTGTAGTCTTGTCATAATCTGCCTAAATAAATAACTACAGAATTATTTGTTATGGCTTCGTGAGGCCCATAAGGGCAGGCGCTAGGTCATGTTCTCAGGTACATCCCCAGGGCTTAGCACAGGGCTGAATGAAATATAATTCCATAGATATTATGTGAATGAGTAAATGAGCCGCCTATGTGTGAGGCATCATTGCTGAGATAAAGGAATCGTAAGCAGGTGTCGGCTCAGAACACCAGCATTTAAAATTACATGGGCATTTTGGGAGACCAAGGAGGGTGGATCACCTGAGGTCAGGAGTTCAAGATCAGCCTGGCCACCATGACAAAACCCCCTCCCTACTAAAAATACAAAAATGAGCCGGATGTGGTGGCAGGCGCCTGTAATCCCAGCTACTCAGGAGGCTGAGGCAGAAGAATTGCTTGAACCCGGGAGGCAGAAATTGCAGTGAGCCAAGATGGTGCCATTGCATTCCGGCCTGGGTGACAAGAGTGAACCTAGTCTCAAAAACAAACAAAAAAAATTACATAGGCTTCACCATGTGTAAACAACATGGTATTGAAATCTGACTAACTTGGCTTCAAATCCAGCCTCTACAGCTTATTAGCTGGGTGACTTGCGTACATTCCTCATATGTTCTGAATTTCAGTGTCTTTGTCAAATGGTGGTAATGCTTTTGTGCCTGTTGTTAAGATGAAAATGAGATAACCTAGATCATGGCTTGACCCTGAGTAGGGGCCCAAAAAGCTATAATGAGTGTTAGTATTTTTATGCAACATTGCATTCTTCACAAAACCCTCTTAGGCTTCAGAAGGTGATGGTTGGTGGGACTGGGGGAGACGGGCACTCACACACATCACTGGAGGGAAAGCAGTCTGAATTAACTGCTGCGGAGGGAAATGTGACAAGATCGACCGAAGTGGCAAGGACCATACCCTCTGACCCAGCAATTCTATTTCCAAGAATTTTATTCAAGGCATGTCAAGTGGCTTATGTAACATGAGTTTTTGCCGCTGCCGTCTTTGTAACAGCAATGAGTTGGAAATAACCTAAGTGCTCACCAACAGGGAAGTGGCCATATGTAAACTATGGTGTCCCATATGCTAGAACACGACATAGCTCTAAGAAAGAGCCGACCTTGAATGAAAGAAAGGTTAAACACAGAGCCACATGTACATTATGCTACCATCTATGTATAAAAGATAAAAAATGGCATTTACGCTTTTCATTGCTTGTGCATAAAATGTCTCTGGAAGGGCAAACCAGCAGCAGATAACACTCGTTTCCCCCAGGGCAAGGAGCTGGGTAGCAGGAACACAGTAGGGAAGTCTTTCTCTGTAAGCCCTTTTGGACTTTCTGAATTCAGAAACATGAAAATGCATTACTTCTTCAAATAAGTAAGTAGAAAGACAGTGGTGACTCCCCTAACCTCCTTTCCCCAAAAGGGAGAGAAAAAATAAAGCTCATATGATTTCTTCAAAGTCACCTAGCAGTTAGGAGGAAGTCAGAATTCAGCTTCTGGTCCCAAGCTGGGCTCCAGCAATTACAGTTCATTCATTTGACACAAATTTACTGTTTCAGCACTTATTCCACACTAGGAGTGACCCTGTGCAGGAAAATATGGGCTAGCAAATAAACACTGGTAGGAAAAGCAGATGACAGGAAGAACCAGTTTATTTTCTTTTTTTCTGCACTGTGCATCGCAAACAGGCCAAAGGGCCAGGCTAAGACCAGGTCAGTGGGTGAGGCAGGTGTGGACAGTAAGCTTGTTTCACTACCAGCACCTGCCTTGGTTAAAGGAGGCAGCCACTACTCAATCTGACCTGGGTTTGCCATCTTAGGATATTGAAGCCCAGTTTTGCCAGATCTGATTTTTCCCAGAGAAGCCAAAATTCCAATTTTTAAAAAATGTAAAATCACTGGATTTGTAAGTGTTGGCAACTAATTCACCAGGTCAGCCAGCACTTTGAAGGCCAAAGACGTAGGTTTGTGATCTTTATTCTACCCCATCACAGCTACAACCTCCAGCCTTCTCAGACCTTTGACGCGGTGCCTAAGCCAGCTGTAAGGTAAGCCTGCACTCATCAGTTCCTGTGGCCTTGGGCAAGTCACTTCACTTCTCTGGGTCTTCTGACTCACCAGTTAATTAAGAGTTTGGCCCAGCTGATGGCCACAATGATCTTTGACCATCTCTGGCTGTGAATTCAGCCCCTACCCTGGGAGCCATACATACTGGAAGTCTTTGAGAGAGGAGGCAGGGCCTGATACCCTAACACAACATAAACTCAGAACCATCCCTCAGCCAATGTTTGGACTCCCACCTAGACCATCATCTAATTCACTAGCCTCTTAACTAAGCAGTGTTTTATCTTGTCTTATCTCACTCTCAGCCCATCATTGATTTCTCTATGAAGCTTTATGTATGACATACTCCCCTACGTATTATATACACACCCAGATACAGGGTAAGCCAGCAGCACCCAAGGTATTGCTAAAGGAAACACAGAGAAGGCAGAACGCTTTAAGCCAGCCTAGGAGACTACATCTGGCCCCATACCTGCCCCTGCGCCAGCCCACTGGATAGAAACCAGGTCACAAGTAGATTTTCAAAAGCGGTGGGGCCATTTGGTCAAATCAATGATCTGTCATGACTATTTTATTAATGTTATGACTGCTGATTGGAATAATATTAACTATCATCAGAGGCTGGCCATGATGGTCAGGACTAAGTTAAGCTTCTATCTGCATCTATTACCTCAATTAATTTCTACTCTAAACCAATGATGTAGGTTTCATTAGGCTCATTTTGCAGATGAAGAACCCGAATTACAGGGATTCACTTTCCCAAAGGCAGAAGACTAGGAAGAGGGACCAAGAGGCAAATCCTGAGTGATTCCAGAGCCTGAACTCCTGACCCCTCTGTTTTAAACAATGCTTGTATGTGCCTCACACAGAGCCAAGAGATTAAATGCCACCCATTGCTTCCCTTCATGAACATCACCCATAGCATCTTACCTTAGAGCAAGAGGACTCTGCCCCTCAAGGAAGGGCCTTTGTTTCCTTGTGGCCCCCACAGAACAGGCTGCAGGTGTTGTGTTTGTTTACTTGCTCAGTGTCTGATTAGCCCTGACAGTATGGAGCCTCTTTAAAGGCAAAAATCTTGCCCAACTTGTTCATTGTTATATCCTGGTGCCCAGCATAGCACTGAGCACATAAAAGGCACCCAATAAATATTTTTATTTTATTTACTTTTTACACATTTTAAATTATTTTTACTTCTTTTTTGAGACAAAATCTCCCTCTGTTACCTAGGCTGGCGTGTGGTGGCACAATCACAGCCCACTGCAGCCTTGACCTCGAGGCTAAAGCAATCCTCCCACCTCAGCCTCCTGGGTAGCTAGGACTACAGGTGTGCACCACCACAGTCAGCTAATTTTTTTGTAGAGACAGGTCTTGCTGTGTTGCCCAGGCTAGAACTCCTGGCTTCAAGTGATCCTTCCACCTCGGTCTCTCAAAATATTGGGATTACAGGTGTGAGCCACCACGCCTGCCCAAATATTTTTAAATGATGGAATAAAAGCCACCAGGAAGAATGGCCTTCCCATTTCTGAGAGATCAGAAAAATTTTCTTTGCTGCTGACTAAACTTGGGTCCACCTTAGCATTATTGTCCACAGGGACATAGACCTGGATCACGTGGGTGGGCAATCCTGAGTCTGTTTGCTGGTCAGTAGAGTCTACAGACAGAGCAGAGCAGAAGTGCCTGCTGCAGAGCAAAGCACATTTGTTTTTATTAAGCACCAATCTTTGCAACTCTTAGGAGACACAAGTTGGCCAAGGAATGAACACTGACTCTTACAAACAAGAAAATGTTAAGGGTCAACTGTG